GGAATCAGAATCGGAGAATGTCGGACACGTGTCGACGTTGGCACGGGTTGTTAATCCCGTGAACCTTCTTGCCGAAATCAATGGTGGAATTTTAAAATAAAAGAAAATGTGCGGAATTAAAAGAGGAAGAAGAAAGACTAACCAGATATCCACGGAACGCCGATTGGATCTTAATTGCAGCCAACTCTTCTCGGACCCCACAGTTGGTGCTGAAGTGCGGCGTTGGGTCACGTGGGCACCTGCCACTGCTACTCGTGAGCCTAACGACGGCAACCGCTGCCTGTGCTGCCGCCACAACAGCCTCCGGAACTGCGGCAGTTGCTGTGGCCACGGCAATCGCGTGCTTGGTCGAATCTACATCGCGGTCCGATTCAGTAACGGATTCCTGGTTTATCATCTGCCGCCCATATGACGTGGGTTTTGAGTTGTGTTTGGCTGCCGCCGGCAGAGCCGAAGTAGTGGAAGTGGAAGTGGAAGTGGAAGTGCTGTCCTTCTCACGGTAAGATTTGACGAAGCTCCACCGGCGTTTGTCTCGGTGAACCTGTGGAGTTCTGGACGCGGACGGGGTGGTGGATGAGGGAGGTTGATGTGGGTCATGTTTTCTGAGTCCTAGTAGATTGCGGAACCACTTTGAAGCCTTACCCATTGTTTTGGCTGCTTTGTTTTATTCAGCAAAAAAAAGCCAAAGGAGAGTAGTTTGGAGGTTTTCTGGGTTGCGTTTGTAGAAAGACAAAGGAGAGGTTGGGGGGAGGAGGAAAGGGAAGTGGGAAGGGGAAGACTTGTTCACGCCATGGTAGCGTGGGAAACAGTGAAGTGGTTAAGTTATTTATAGAAATGCGGGAATTAGACGGTAAGGAACTGTGTGTGCGAAGAGACTTCCCCTTCCCACTGGTTTATTCAGAAGGTGGGAGAGGCGGGAGAGGCGGGAGAGGCAGGAATCAAACGTGGACTCAAAATGGTGCTATATCATCAATTGACTGAGTTGGTTTTTTCACGTAGGCATGAAAAAATTAAAAGTGGTAATTGTTGGATACTTAACGTGACAAGTATGCAGCCTGTTAACGGAAGGACCATTTGGGTTCCAGAAAAATGAAGTTAAAGGACCACTTGGGTGCTTTCTGAAGTTAAAGGACGAACTAAGTTTTGAAATGAAAGTTCAGGGACCAAATTGGGTATTAAACCAATCTATTAAGAGGGTTACGCTAACACGTGAACGGGAAACGCACGAAAACACCATTTAGAATCCAGAAAGACTCTTTAAGAATTGAAACCGTCTGAAAATGGCGGACGCTGAGCATCCCAGACTTATATTGCACAATTTTTTATCACACGAAGAATGCAAGGTTAGGCTAATCTATCGCTTTTTTTTTCTCTGTTTTTCAATCATTATCGAATTCAGCTTCAAAATTCATCATCGTTGCAATCGGTGATGATTACAACAGGAGCTGGAGTTCATCCACAAAAGCTGCTGCACCGTCGGGTACAGACCCTACGTCTTCTCCACTACACTCTCTCATCTCGTTGCTACTAATTCTGCTCATCTAATCTTGCCCTTTGTTCCTATCAGAGGTACGGATGTTCTGGTTTAATTATTGAAAAATCTATGTATTGTATCAACCCGTTTTTGTTAACGTGGATCGTATCTGCTTGTTTGATTGGCAGAGAGACTGAAGGAGAAGATTGAGGAGTTTTTTGGCTGTGAATATGAGCTTGTCATTGAGTTCACTGGCTTAATCAGGTTCTTTTTCTTACTTTCTTTTTGGGTAATTAAGATTTATTGTCTATTATATAGAATGGTAGCAATTTTTGAAGTATCTAAAGAAATGCCCAAGAGAAGGAAACCAAAAATGATAGTAGCTGCTTCAAAAGCATTATATCTTCTGGAGCTAGTTTTGATGTTGAGCATTCTTGTCAAATATACAAACTTTGATAAGTGGCTCTTCACCATGAGGAAAGAAAGGGAAGAATTTTGATTCATGTATGTGTTAGCGCATTTAATTGAAACAATTTGTCTACTTCATCTTCACTTTTGTTTTGTAACTTATGCTAAATTTATTGGGTCCTTGGTTCAGGTATTGAATATTATTCCTGAACTTGAAATTTTGTTTTAGCATAAATGGCAGAACTCCCCAAACTCCTATTTGCAGTTAACTGTTTCTGACATTTTTGAGTTTATAATTTGCTTCTTTCTTCTTAACATTGTGAGTGTATCATATCTATCTTTTTACATGTAATCACCTTTGATTAAGCTAATAGTACAATAGAACATGAATCAGCTGGAGCAGAGGAGCGAGCATTGGTTGGCACAGTGATGATAATAAGCCATACCTAAAGCAACGGGACTTTACGGTATATCTCTTACATTTTCACTTTATACTTTATTTCCCTGGTAATATTAGGTCTATTGTCCTGTTCTCATTTTAGAGAACATGCATTTTATTTTATGTATTACTTGTTAGTAATGCCTGCTAATGGATTTTATGTCTTATGTTTTTTGAAAAAGGCAGTTTGTTATTTAAATAGTTTTGGAAGTGATTTCAAAGGTGGACTTTTTCATTTTCAAGATGGTGAGCCCACAACTATAATGCCTATGGCTGGAGTAAGTGATACTCTATGCATTATGATGCATGAAATTGATTTTGAGAATTTCTAGATGTAGCTGCAATTTATGTTTTAGTTAAATATTTGTCATTCAATTATAACAAAAATTTCAAATTGGCTTGTATTCATCCAAGTGTTCTATCTTAAGCAATCATAAAATAGAAAATGATGTGAATTCTAAAGTATTCAGAGAAGCATCATATCTAGCATAAGCTTGACATACTTGGGACAGATTTGGGACAGTTCCTAGATTTTACTTACAAGTAAATGTTGATGGCTTCAAATAGAGTTGAATGACTAATAGCGATAAATAACTTTAAGAAACTTTATGGTAGTAACCAATTTGTTAGACTTGGCACCTGAGAATTTTTTATGATGGGCATAGAAAGGGTGATTAGATAGAGAAATAAGGACTGAAAGGTGTATTGCATCCATTCATTAGAAACGAAGGGTCTGTTTATTAGGTTGCAGTTTCTGGTTGGTATGATAGTATCCAATCATGGTTAAGTAGGGTTGGCATTTTAAGAGATTAGAAAATCACTTATGTCTTACGTAAACTTTTTAGTCCCTTTTTTTTTCTTCTTTTTGAAAAACAAAAGGGAAATTAGAAAACCACTTTGAGGGGTTGGTTTCCAAAAGTTTTGAAAACTTACAACTGGTTTTTGCAATATATGGAAACACGTTTTGGTTTACAAATTTTTTAAAATGAAACTAAACATGGCCTAAACTAACTTGTATTTTCATTTATCAAAAGTCTATTAAATAGTAGGTTGCCAGAAAAAGAAGTAAATCCAGAGTTTATTAGGCCTTCTAAATTGGTCTTCATCATGTAATGAATTAGGCTCTTGAGCATTGTGAGAAGCAGTTTGTGAGGGAGGGCTATCTAAGTTTCTAATTGGCCAACAAGACACAAATAATCAACTTGAATTCCAAGAAAATTTACATAGAACACATGTCAAGTCCTTGATTCCCTA